GAAAGCAAAAAAGAGAGGAAAGCAAAAAAATAGCAAGAGAAAATAAAAAGAGAGAGAGAGGAAAGCAAAATGGAGAGGAAAGCAAAATAGATAGAGAAAAAAAAGAGAAAGCAAAAAGGATAAAGAAAAAAAATACAAAGAGACAGAGGAAAGCAAAAAGATAAGAAAAGAAAAGAGAGAGAAAAAGCAAAGAGGACAGAGGAAAAAAAATAGAGAGAGAAAAGAAAGAGAGAGGAAAGAAAAGACAGAGGAAAACAAAATAGAGAGAAAAAGCAAAAGAGAGAGAGGAAAGAAAAGGAAAGAGAGAAAAAAAAGCAAAAGAGAAAAAAAAAGACAGAGGAAAGCAAAATAGATAGAGAAAAGCAAAAGAGAGAGAGGAAAAAAAAGGACAGAGAGAAAGCAAAATAGATAGAGAAAAGCAAAAGAGAGAGAGAGGAAAGCAAAAAAAAGACAGAGGAAAGCAAAATAGAGAGAGAAAAGCAAAAAGAGAGAGAGGAAAGCAAAAAAAGACAGAGAAGGCAAATAAAAGAAAATAGAGAGAGAAAGCAGGGGAGACAGAGAAAAGAAAAAAAGAAAAGCAAAAGAGAGGAAAGAAAAAGACAGAGGAAAGCAAAATAGATGAGAGAAAAGCAAAAAGAGAGAGAGCAAAAAAAAGGACAGAGAAAGCAAAAAAGGAGAAAAGAAGAGAAAATGAAGAGAGAAAAAAAAGAGACAGAGAAAGCAAAAAGGACAGAGAGAAAGCAAAAAGAGAGAGGAAAGCAAAAGACAAAAGACAAAAATAGAAGAGAAAAGAGAAAAGGAAAGCAAAAGGAAAGCAAAAAGAAGATAGAGAGAGAGAGAAAGCAAAAGGACAGAGGAAAAAGATAGAGAAAAGCAAAGAGAGAGAGGAAGCAAAAGAGACAGAGGAAAGCAAAAAGAGAAAAGCAAAAGAGAGAGGAAAGCAAAAAGGACAGAGGAAAGCAAAATAGAAGAGAAAACAGAGGAAAGCAAAAAAAAGAGAAAGAAAAGAAAAAAAGAGAGAGAGGAAAGCAAAAGACAGAGGAAAGCAAAATAGAAAGAGAAAAGCAAAAGAGAGAGAGAGAAAAAGCAAAAGAGAGAGGAAAGCAAAAGACAGAAAGCAAAATAGATAGCAAAAAGCAAAAGAGAGAAGAAAGCAAAAGGACAGAGAAAAGCAAAAGAGATAGAGAAAAGCAAAAAAGAGGAAACAAAAAGAACAGAGAAAAGAAAGCAAAAAGAGAGAGAAAAAAGCAAAAGAGAGAGAGGAAAAGAGAGAGGAAAAAAAGGACAGAGGAGAAGAAAAGCAAAAGAGAGAGAGGAAAGAAAAAAAAGAGAGAGAGAGAAAGCAAAATAGATAGAGAAAAGAAAAAGAAGAGAGGAAAGAAAAAAGATGAAGAAAATAGACAGAGAAAAGCAAAAAGAGAGGAGGAAAGCAAAAGGACAGGAAAGCAAAATAGATAGAGAAAAGAGAAAGAGAGAGAGGAAAAAAGAGAAGGAAAGATAAAAAAGGACAGAGGAAAGCAAATAGATAGAGAAAAGCAAAAGAGAGAGAGAAAAGAAAAAGGAGAGAGAAAAAAAACAGAGAAAGCAAAAGAGAGAGAGGACTGAAAAAAGAGAAAGAAAAGCAAAAGGACAGAGGAAATCAAAGAGAAAAGAGAGAAAGAGAAAAAGAGAGAGAGGAAAGCAAAAAAGACAGAGGAAAGAAAAAGGAGAGAGAGAAAAAGAAAGAAAGAGAGAGAGAAAAGAAAAGAGAGAGAGAAAAAAAAAGAGAAAAGAAAAAGAGAGAGAGGAAAGCAAAAGACAGAGGAAAGCAAAAAGAAGAGAAAAAAAAAAGAGAGAGAGGAAAGCAAAAAAAGGAAAACAAAAGAGAGAGAAAAAAGCAAAAATAGATAGAAAAGGAAAGAAAGAGAGAGAGAAAAAAAAAGAGAAAGGAAAGCAAAAAAAAAAGAAAAAGCAAAAGAGAGAGCAAAAGCAAAAGAGAGAGATAAAAGCAAAAGGAAAGGAAAGCAAAAATAGAGAAAAGCAAAAGGACAGAGGAGAGATAGAGAAAGCAAAAAAGAGAGCAAAAGGACAGAGGAAAGCAAAATAGAGAAAAGCAAAAGAGAGAGAAAAAAAGGACAGAGGGAGAGAGCAAAAGAGAGAGACTAAAGCAAAAAGGACAGAGGAAAGAAAATAGATAGAGAAAAGCAAAAGAGAGAGATGAAAGCAAAAGGAACAGAGGAAAGCAAAATAGAGAAAAGCAAAAGAGAGAGAGGAAAGCAAAAAGGACAGAGGAAATCAAAATAGATAGAGAAAAGCAAAAGAGAGAGATGAAAGCAAAAGGAACAGAGGAAAGCAAAATAGAGAAAAGCAAAAGAGAGAGATGAAAGCAAAAGGAACAGAGGAAAGCAAAATAGAGAAAAGCAAAAGAGAGAGAGGAAAGGAAAAGAGACAGAGGAAAGGAAAATAGAAAAAAGGAGAGAGAGAGGAAAAAAGAGACAGAGGAAAGCAAAATAGAGAAAAGCAAAAGAGAGAGAGGAAAGCAAAATAGATAGAGAAAAGCAAAAGAGAGAGAGGAAAGCAAAAAGGACAGAGGAAAGCAAAATAGATAGAGAAAAGCAAAAGAGAGAGAGGATAGACAGAGGAAAAAAAAAATAGATGCTTAAAAAGAGAGAGGAAAGCAAAAAGAGAGAAAAAGAGAGAGAGAAATCAAAAACAAGGAGAGAGAGAAAGCAAAAAAGGACAGAGAAAGCAAAAGGACAGAGGAACAAAATAGAGAAAGCAAAAGAGAGAGGAAAGCAAAAAAAGGACAGAGGAAAGGAAATCAAAAGAAAAAAAGATAGAGAAAAGCAAAAGAGAGAGAGGAAAGCAAAAGGAACAGAGGAAAGCAAATAGAGAAAAAAGAGAGAGAGGAAAGCAAAAGGACAGAGAGATAGAGAAAAGCAAAAGAGAGAGAGGAAAGGAAAGCAAAATAGATAGAAAAAGCAAAAGAGAGAGATGAAGAAAAAGGAACAGAGGAAAGCAAAATAGATGAAAAAGCAAAAAGAAGAAAGCAAAAACAGAGGAAATCAAAACAGATAGAGAAAAGCAAAAAGAGAGAGAGGAAAGCAAAAGGACAGAGGAAACAAAATAGATAGAGAAAGCAAAGAGAGAGAAGAAAGCAAAAGGACAAAGGAAAAAAGAGAGAAAGAAAGCAAAAGAGACAGAGCAAAAGCAAAATAGAGAAAAGCAAAAGAGAGAGAGGAAAAGCAAAAAGGACAGAGGAAATCAAAAACAGAAGAGAAAAATGAGAGAGATGAAAGCAAAGGAAGAGAGGAAAGCAAAATAGAGAAAAGCAAAAGAGAAGGAAAGCAAAAGGACAGAGGAAATCAAAACAGAAGAAAGCAAAATAGAGATGAAAGCAAAAAGGACAGAGAAAGCAAAATAAAGGAAAAGCAAAAGAGAGAGAGAAAGCAAAAAAAACAGAGGAAAATAATAGAGAAAAGCAAAAGAGAGAGAGGAAAGCAAAAAGGACAGAGGAAAGCAAAAAGAGAGAAAAGCAAAAGAGAGAGAAAAGCAAAAAGGAGAGAAAGCAAAATAGAAAGAAAAAAGAGAGGAAAGCAAAAAAGGACAGAGGAAATCAAAATAGATAGAGAAAAGCAAAAGAGAGAGAGAGGGAAAAGGACAGAAAAAAAAATAGGAAGAGAAAAGCAAAAAGAGAGAAAAGAAAAGGACAGAGGAAAGCAAAAAGGAAAAGGAAAGAGAGAGACTGAAAAAAAGAGGACAGAGGAAAGCAAAAATAGATAGAGAAAAGCAAAAGAGAGAGATGAAAAGGAAAAGAGGATAGAGAGAAAACAAAAAGAGAGAGGAAAGCAAAAGGAGAGGAAATCAAAATAGATAGAGAAAAGCAAAAGAGAGAGATGAAAGCAAAAGGAACAGAGGAAAGCAAAATAGAGAAAAGCAAAAGAGAGAGAGGAAAGCAAAAAGGACAGAGGAAATCAAAATAGATAGAGAAAAGCAAAAGAGAGAAGAAGCTAAAAAGACAGAGAGAAGAGAAAAGCAAAAGAGAGACTGAAAAAAGGAGAAAAATAGAGAAAAGCAAAAATGAAGAGAGAAAAGCAAAAGATAGAGGAAAGCAAATAGAAAGAAAAGAGGAAAGCAAAAAGGACAGAGGAAATCAAAATAGATAGAGAAAAGCAAAAGAGAGAGATGAAAGCAAAAGGAACAGAGGAAAGCAAATAGACAGAGAAAAGCAAAAAGAGAGAGAAAGCAAAAAGGACAGAGGAAATCAAAATAGATAGAGAAAAGCAAAAAATAGACAGAAAAAAGCAAAATAGATAGAGGAAAACAAAAGAGAGAGGAAAGCAAAAGGACAGAGAAAGAGGAAAAGCAAAGAGACAGAGAAAAAGGAAAGAGGAAATAGAGAAAAAGCAAAAGAGAGGAAAGCAAAAGGACAGAGGAAATCAATATAGACTAAAAAGAAAAGAGAGAAAAAGGAAAAGGAAAAGGAAACAGAGAGAAAAGCAAAAGAGAGAGAGGAAAGCAAAAAAAAAAGAAAGAAAAAGAAAAAGAAAAGCAAATAGAGAGAGGAAAGCAAAAGGACAGAGGAAAAGCAAAAAGAGATGACAGAGGATCAAAAGCAAAAGAGAGAGAGGAAAGAAAAAAAAGAGAAAACAAAATATAGAGAAAAGCAAAAAGAGAGAGAGGAAAGACAGGAAAGCAAAATAAAAAGACAGAGAAAAGAAAAAGACAGAAAGCAAAAGAGAGAGAAAAGCAAAAAGAGATGAAAGCAAAAGACAGAGCAAATCAAAATAGAGAAAGAAAAGAGAGAGAGGAAAGCAAAAGGACAGAGAAATCAAAATAGATAGAGAAAAGCAAAAAGAGAGAAAAAAGAACAGAGGAAAAGCGAAAAATAGAGAAAAAAAAAGAGAGAGAGGAAAGCAAAAAGACAGAGAAATCAAAAGATATAGAGAAAAGCAAAAAAGAGAGAAAGAGACAGAAAATAGACAGAGAAAAAAAGAGACAGAGCAAAAAAGGAAGGAAAGTTAGAAAATAGAAAGAGAGAAAAGCAAAAGACAGAGGAAAATCAAAATAGAAAGCAAAAAGAGAGAGGAAAGGAACAAAAAGAGAGAAAAGCAAAAAAAGAGAGGAAAGAAAAAAAGGATAGAGGAAAACAAAAAGAGAGAGCAAAGAGAGATGAAAGAAAGGAACAGAAAAGGCAAAATAGAGAAAGCAAAGAAGAGAGGAAAAAAGGACAGAGGAAAAATAGAAAGAGAGAGAAAGAAAGGAAAGCAAAAGGACAGAGGAAAGCAAAAGATAGAGAAAAGCAAAAGAGAGAGAGGAAAGAAAAAAAGGACAGAGGAAATCAAAATAGATAGAGAAAAGCAAAAGAGAGAAAAAAAAAGAGGAAAGCTAAATAGACAGAGAAAAGCGAAAGAGATAGACTGAAGAAAAAGAGACAGAGGAAAGCAAAAGAGATAGAGAAATGCAAAAGATATAGACTAAAGAAAAAGAGATAAAGGAAAACAAAATAGACAGAGGAAAGCAAAAGGGACAGAGGAAAGCAAAAGAGAGAAAAGCAAAAAGAGAGAAAGCAAAAAAGAGAAAAGAGAGAAAAAAAAGAGAGAAAAGGACAGAGGAAAAAAATAGACAGAGAAAAGCAAAAGAGAGAGACTAAAAGAAAAAAAGGACAGAGGAAATCAAAATAGATAGAGAAAAGCAAAAGAGAGAGAGGAAAGCAAAAGGACAGAGGAAAGCAAAATAGAGAAAAGCAAAAGAGAGAGAGGAAAGAAAAAGGACAGAGGAAAGCAAAAAAAAGCAAAATAGAGAAAAGGAAAAAGATATAGACTAAAGAAAAGAAAGAGAAAACAAAAGGACAGAGGAAAGCAAAAAGGATAGAGGAAAGCAAAGAGAAAAAATAGACAGAGAAAAGAGATAGAGGGGAAAGAAAAAGAGACAGAGGAAAAGCAAAAAGACAGAGGAAATCAAAAAGATAGAGAAAAGATAAGAAAAGCAAAAGAGAGAGGAAAGCAAAAAGACAGAGAAAAGTAAAAGAGAGAGAGAAAGACTGAAGAGGAAAAAGAGACAGAGAAAGCAAAAGAGAGAGAGGAAAGCAAAAAAGACTAAAGAAAAGAGATAGAGGAAAACAAAATAGACAGAGGAAAGCAAAAGGACAGAGGAAATGCAAAAGGAAAGCAAAAAAACAGAGGAAAGCAAAATAGAGAGAAAGCAAAAAGAGAGAGAAAAAGGAAAGGAAACCTAAAACAGAGGAAAGCAAAATAGACAGAGGAAAGCAAAAGAGAAAATAGACAGAAAAAAGGAAAGAGAGGAAAGAAGAAAAAAATAGACAGAGGAAAGCAAAAGAGAGAGCAAAAGGAAACTAAAAAGAAAAAGAGATAAAGGAAAACAAAATAGACAGAGGAAAGCAAAAGGGACAGAGGAAAGCAAGGAAAGCTAAATAGACAGAGAAAAGCGAAAGAGATAGACTGAAGAAAAAGAGACAGAGGAAAGCAAAAGAGATAGAGAAATGCAAAAGAGAGAGAGGAAAGCAAAGAGACAGAGGAAAGCAAAAAATAGAGAACAGAGAAAGCAAAGGAACAGAGAAAGAAAGGAAAGAAAAGCAAAGAGAGAGAGGAAATAGATAGACTGAAGAGAGAGAAAAGCAAAAGAGAGAGAGGAAATGCAAAATATAGACAGAGAAATCAAAAAGAAAACAAAAAAAGAGGAAACAAAGGACAGAGCAAAAGCTAAATAGACAGAGAAAAGCGAAAGAGATAGACTGAAAGAAAAAGAGACAGAGGAAATAGAGAAAAAGCAAAAGAGAGAGAGAAAGCAAAAGGAGAGAGGGAAATCAAAAAATAGAAAAAGAAAAGAGAGAAAGCAAAGCAAAAAGGACAGAGGAAAAAATAGAGAGAAAAAGAGAGAGAGAGGAAAGCAAAAGGACAGAGGAAATCAAAATAGATAGAGAAAAGAAAAAAGAGAGAGAGAAAGGAAAGAAAAAGGACAGAGAAAAGCAAAAGAGAGAGAGGAAAGCAAAAAGGACAGAGGAAAGCAAAAAAAGAGAATAGAGGAAAAAAAAAGACAGAGAAAAGCAAAAAAAGAGAAAAGCAAAAGAGAGAGAGGAAAGCAAAAAAGGAAAGGAAACAGAGAAAAAGAGAAAAAGAGAGGAAAGAAAAAAGAGACAGAGGAAATCAAAATAGATAGAGAAAGCAAAAGATAGAGATGAAAGAAAAAGAGATAAAAAAAGGACAGAGGAAAGCAAAAAAGAGGAAAGAGGAAAAGCTAAAAGACAGAGAAAAGCAAAAAGAAGAGGAAAAAAGAGAGAGGAAAGCAAAAGAAAAGAAAGACAAAAAAGAAAAAAGATAGAGAAAAACAAAAGAGAAAAAATAAAAAGAAGAAAACAAAATAGACAGAGGAAAGCAAAAGGACAGAAAAAAAAGCAAGGAAATCAAAAAACAGAGAAAAGAAAAAAAGAGATAGAGGAAACAAAAAAGAGAGAGAGAAAGCAAAAGAGAGGAAATCAAAATAGAGAAAGAAAACAGAAGAGGAAAAAGACAGAGGAAAGCAAAAAAAGAGAAAAAAAAGAGAGAGAGAAACAAAATAGACAGATGAAAGCAAATGAGATAGAGAAAGGCAAAATCAGAGGAAAGCAAAAATAGACAGAGAAAAGAAAGAGAAAAGCAAAAGAGAGAGAGGAAAGAAAAAGAGACAGAGGAAAGCAAAAGAGATAGAGAAATGCAAAAGATATAGACTAAAGAAAAAGAGATAAAGGAAAGCAAAATAGACAGAGAAAAAGCAAAAGGACAAAAGAAAAGACAAGGAAAGCAAAAATAGACAGAGAAAAGCAAAAACAGAGAAAAAAAGAGGAAAAGAGAGAGAAAAAAAAAGACAGAGGAAATCAAAATAGAGAGAAAAGCAAAAGAGAGAGAAAGAAAAAGACAAAGGAAAACAAAATAGACAGAGGAAAGCAAAAGAGAGAGACAAACAAAAGGAAAGAGGCTCAAAAAAAGAGAAAAAAAAGAGAGAGAAAAGGACAGAGGAAAGCAAAAGAGATAGAGAAAGCAAAAAAGAGACAGAGGAAAGCAAAATAGATAGAGAAAAGCAAAAAGAGAGAGATGAAAAAAAAAAGGCAAAAAGAGAGAGCTCTAAAAAGAGAGAGGAAAGCAAAAAAGGACAGAGGAAAGCAAAATAGACAGAGGAAAGCAAAAAGGACAGATAGACAAAAAAAAAAAGAGAGAGATGAAAGCAAAAGGACAGAGAGAGAAAGAGAAAAAAAAAAGATATAGACTAAAGAAAAAAAGAGAAAAAAAGAGAGAGGAAAGCAAAAAGGACAAAATAGACAGAGAAAAGCAAAAAGAGACAGAGGAAAAGCAAGGAAATCAAAATAGAGAAAAGAGAAAAGAAAGCAAAAAGGACAGAGGAAAAGAAAGAGACAGAGGAAAGCAAAAGAGATAGAGAAATGCAAAAGATATAGACTAAAGAAAAAGAGATAAAGTAAAACAAAATAGACAGAGGAAAGCAAAAGAGACAGAGGAAATCAAGGAAAGCTAAATAGACAGAGAAAAGCGAAAGAGATAGACTGAAGAAAAAGAGACAGAGGAAAGCAAAAGAGATAGAGAAATGCAAAAAAGATATAGAAAAAAAAAGGACAGAGGAAATGAAAATAGACAGAGAAAAGCAAAGGGACAGAGAAAGAGGAAAGAAAATAGACAGAGAAAAAGAAAAAAAGACAGAGGAAAGCAAAAGGGACAGAGGAAAGCAAAAGAGATAGAGGAAAGCAAAAGGGACAGAGGGAAGCTAAATAGACAGAGAAAAGCAAAAGAGATAGAGGAAGAAAAAAGACAGAGGAAAGCAAAATAGATAGAGAAAATCAAAAGAGAGAGAGACTAAAAGAAAAAAGAAAGAGGAAACAAAATAGTCAGAGAAAAGCAAAAGAGAGTGATGAAAGCAAAAGGAACAGAGGAAAGCAAAATAGATAGAGAAAAGCAAAAGTGATTGACGAAAGCAAAAGAGATAGATTAAAGCAAAAGAGAAAAAGGAAAACATTCAATAACGTAGGAAATAAGCTTTTTTAAATAAATGGCAGAAAACTAAGCAAGACGAATAGTAAAACGATAAAACTTAGTAAGTAGCAACGCAGAGAATGTCGTGGAATGCCCTGATAGCCAACGTCATGTTGAGTCACGGCAAATAAATGGTAAAAAAAAATTCTTCCAAGGCTTCAGTTCTTGCTGTTTTTGGTTTGGAGGGCAACTATGAATTAATGAAGCGAGTTATACGGTATGATAATTTAGCAACAATGAAGCAGTCAGATGTGTTCTCAAATCTCATTACAAAGGTATTCCTAATGAAAATTTCAGATAACCAAATGAAAGGCTCACCTGCAAAGTTATCAACAAACATGCTGCCAATATCAGTCTTGAAATTACAATCAGTTCCACAAATAGATTGTTGCACGTTGATTAAACATCTTAACACCGGGGTTATGCAGACAAGATTCCTTTGTATGTAGTCTCTTTAACCATTGAGACATATGATGGCTGTTGTAAGAATGGTAAGTATGAATATGTTGTTTTGGTGTAAAGAATACTGTGGTATGTTTGGAAGAGTAATCGTGGCTAGCTAAGTTTCTAATAAAACAGATTAAAGACCAAACTTTCCCTACCCCCTTGGCCTTGTGTCTCATTTTTGTATTATCTAAAAATAAATATTACTAAACGTATCTAAGATGATACTATGAGGGTCAAATCCGAAACTATAGGTCATCCAATGATGATCGAACTCAATATTCAGTCATAACTTGTTTAGCGAGACAAACATGTTTACCATTACATTAGGCCAAAGTGCCCAAATCTAGTTAAAATATAAAGGAATAGTGAGTTATTAAAGATAATTCACCTGTAAAATCTCGGACAGTAAATATTCGTATTGTTGGTGATGATTTTTTTAAGACTTTTTCACCCCAAGCAAAGCGGGAGTGCCAATAGAACCTAAGGGGTTACAGAAATGAGGAGCAAGAGTAAAAAGATAAAGAGAGGGACGGGGAACAAGATCAAGGTATCAGAAGATGTCGATTGACATAACATTTGAATATCTGAAGACCATAACTGTCATGAAAGCAAGTAAAAGGAAGGGAGTTCCACAGACATGAAGTGAGAGACATTCTACGATTGGAGTAGGAAAGGCGCCTATATTTAATCGTTTCGACAGTGAAAGGGTGGGACTGAGATGCCAAATTAGTAGCACGTTTAAATTCATGCAGTTTGGGAACCAGCGGAAGCTGTTACCATGAAAGTACCTGCAGAAGAGACGGAGGGAAGCGATGGCAAGTCTGTGAGAAAGTGACAATAAATTGATGTAAATTCATGCAGTTTGGAAACTAGTGAATGATGATGAAGATGTTTATTAACAAGAATTTCGTAGAGACGATAATGACGAACATATAGAAATAATTATTGCTCTAAATGCATTCCTCTTACATCAAGCCCGAAAAAATCATTCGCGAATTTGTGCTTTTCGAAGAACGGTAAAATTGAATGAATACGCAGTTAATAATCTCTTCGGAAATGATAATATTAGATTTGGCAATAGAAGAAATATAAAAAAAAAAAGAGAACATTTTCAAAGTTAAAGAAGTTACTCAATTAAAACGAATTCATCATCTTTACCACTCCAAGGATATAAATTTGTCATCAATTCAGTCTCAAAGCAAATATAAAGCGACTGTGAACTTTGACAATGATACATTGAAATGTATTCGATATGGACATACACATAGAATAGATAATCTTATATGCAGGAACATGCAAACAGACGGCCACAGAAACACACACATTTTGAATAAGGTGTATCCCATAAGGTCTTCAATATAATAGTAATAAGCAAGTAGGATATTACAAAAAAAAAAAAAAAAACACAAACTTCGTTATCGATTTTAAATTTATGAGAGCTGTTTTTGGCTTCTGATTTTTTTATGGGTGTCTTAATATCCGGGTAGCTTCTTATGTAATTTACTTAATAAAGCCAATTGAGTCGAAAGTCGACGTGCATGGGAATCTAAATATATATATATATATATATATATATTTATATATATATGTGTGTGTGTATATATATATATATATATATATATATATATATATATATATATATATATATATATGTTAATCCTACTTATGCATATATACCAATAAACGAACTGAGAAATGGCAGAAGATTAACTCTGTTCCGACGAGTGGTTATATATATATATATATATATATATATATATATATATATATATATATATATATATATATATATATATATATAAAATTTTCATGTTAATTTCTAAATCTCCATCTCTATCCTTTATATTGAGTACTAAACAAAAAGCCTCCTTAACTTTAAGCTTCCTTATCAGTAAAAACCACTGAAAAACCAGTTTCATAAACAATATTTCAAATTAGCACTATATATATATATATATATATATATATATATAGAGAGAGAGATAGATATAGATAGATAGATAGATAGATAGAAAGATAGATACAGGGAGAGAGAGAGAAGGAAGGAGATTAAGAGAGAGACGGAGAGAGAGAGAGAACAGGAGGAAGGGAAAAAAGGGAAAGGGAGACAAAAGTTTCAAAGAAAGATAGATTTGATTTCTCGCGGATATACTACTCGTCAGTGTCAAATCCACCTATCTATATCTATACAGATAGGAGCTGTATGTATCAAAACCCGAGCAATATGTCATAGAACCTTTTATTTATCTATCAACTATTGTAGCGTTATTCATTTACTACTGTGAACAATATCTACAACGTATGCTCAATAAATAAACCCCGATAGCTTACTGGCCGATATGTTTTTTAATAGTTATCTCTCTCCTCCTTGTCTCTACTCTCGTCTCCACACACACACAGACACGCACACATACACAGGCACGCACATACACGCATATATATATATATATATATATATATATATATTGCTGATATCCACTGACGAGGGAACAGGCTGATCCGTCTACAAAATTTGGAGTTGATATATATATATATATATATATATATATATATATATATATATATACGTAAATTTGTGTGTGTTAGCTGAGTGATGATACATATTTTACGTATATATATATATATATATATATATATATATATATACGTAAATTTGTGTGAGTTAGCTGAGTGATGATATATATTTACGTATATATATATATATATATATATATATATATATATATAGGGTGCTAAAAAAAATTTTTACATATAAACATATGTCCGCAAATCCTTCTTTTTTTGAGTTATTGAGTTTAAAGCATGTTTACATGTCGCTGTGTTGTCATGAACACTAGGTTACATTTGTCATTCGTGTAAATTTGTGGCTTGACTGTCTTCAATATTTAACGTGTATAGTAATGTGTTAACTGAGAAGAGTTCGGTTTAACAATGAGAGGATATTCAGATCGTGATCAGGTAGATATGATTTTTACACACGGCCGCTCGAATGGTAATGAACGCGAGGCTACACGGCTGCATCAGATTGTGTTTCCAGTCCTAAGTCAGCGTGATATCCATCATTTATAGCTGTTTATTATCGTGTCACTGAGACAGGATCAGTCGCACCATAAACTAACCGCTCGTATGCATCAATTCCAAGAATATATTCTGCAGACTATCGGGGACGATCCCGGTAACATCACACCGCAAGTGGCCCTCGAATTTCGTAGATATTATAGTACCACATATAGTACCACTTGGAGAGTACTATATACATATTACATAGAATCGAAATCGAAAATTACCTCATTCGAATAGCTATTTCAGCCAAAACGGCTTACTTATTGGCTTTGTCAAAGCTAATAAGTAAGACTTGTTGGCTGAAATAGTTATTCGAATGGGTAATTTTCGATTTCCATTCTGTGTAATTTATATGCTCTGTTATAATAAATACACTGAGCTGTTTTTATGGATCAGTTTTAATATTTTATATTATTAGGATCCACTTGGATTATATACCAACTGATCATTACCTATATATATATATATATATATATATATATATATATATATATATATATATATATATATAAACCGACATTGTTTATAATTTATATTAAAAATAAATATAAATTTTTCTATCCACTATGCAAGTACCATTTCCTTTGTTTTTTCTCAAATACTAATTAATTGATTGTAATTTCCAAGTGATTAGTTCAATTTAATTTACTGAATTTTATTTCCTTTCATCAGATTACCGGAAACTGAATCGATATTCTTCAGTGAACGCTTTTACTAGCACTAGTTCAATGTGCTCCAAAGCATAAATGTTTTACGACATATTGAGAACATTAAATTATGTTAAATAATAGTTTTAGACTATTATTTTTTTAGTGGCAGTGTATTTCGCTTAGACCTTCAGAAGCTGACCTTGAGGTCAGCTGGTAGACAAAATAGGGATCTCGTTTGGCTTAGCCGAACGTGAGAATGTTAGAGATAAAGTGTTTTTAGTGAGTTAAGTTTTACACGTCATACAGATTAGACGTGGTTATTTCGTCTCCCCAGTGGGGTTGATAGAGCAACTCCACTGGCTAGTTAAAACTGTACACGCCGACGTGTTTAATAAGAGAGATAAGTCAAAATCCCTTTTGTCGAAGTTCTCATATTATCTCTGAACAAGCCAGCTAGCGATCACCGGGCCGAGAAGAGAGGAAGTCAAATTTATTGTGGTCGCCCCAAGACTGTCACCACAAGACATCCCCATCCCGAAATGGCTATACAGCAATAACAAGAACATTAGCGCATATACAATGCACGATGTAAATTTATACGTCCTCTACAAGCTTATGGCGTGGAGAACCAAAGACTTCCCACTGGAGATTCATATGCCAAAT